TTTTAAGCAAAGTTACAACTTTATACAACATACCTATACAACATTAAAACTAATGCATCAAGTGGCACCTCGGGGAGTTCTCTTCAGGGCAGCACAGATAACTGGATAAAAAGCTTCAAGAACTTACGTTTCTGTCTGGGAGACAAGAGTTTAAAAATCAATTGTCAGTAAGCGGAAGTAGGTGAATGTGCAAGGGAGCAGACAAGTACATAGATGTTCCGAGAGGGTAGAGAGGGTAGATACGATTAGAAAAGAGGGTTGAAGGTGGAGTCGATTGAAAGCAAGAGATCACCTTAGGACAAGGAGCTGGAGTTGAGGGATGGAGGTGATGGCAAGGGTGAGGTCATACCAGCAAGGTTGTATTGGGCCGTATGGGGGAAAGAAACTCAAATTGTTCTTAAGATTAGAGTTTTGCCGGACGGTGGTGGCACACACCTTTAATCCCAGCATTCAGGAGGCAGAGGCAGGTGGATCTCTGAGTTCGAGGCCAGCCTGGTCTACAGAGCAAGATCCAGGAAAGGTGACAAAGCTATACAGAGAAACCCTGTCTTGGAAAAAAAAAAAAATTAGAGTTTTATGTGTGTATTTTTGCATTTTTGTATGTGTGCCTGGTGCCCTCAGAGGTCAAAAGGTCATTGAACCCTCTGGAACTGAGATTACAGGTGGTTGTTATCTGTTGTAGAGGTGCTGGGATTCAAACCTGGGTCTTCTGGAAGAGCAAGTGCTTAACTGCTCAGCCAGCTCTTAAGCGCCTCTTTTTTATTTTAAAATCTTTGTGTGTGTGTGTGTGTGTGTGTGTGTGTGTGTGTGAGTGCCTGTGGAGGCCAGAAGAGGGGGTCAAATACCCATAGAGCTGGAGTTCCAGGGGATTGTGTACTGCCTGAGGTGGGGACTAGGAACCAAACTCTGGTCCTCCAGAAGAACGGCAAATGCTTTTAGCCATTGAGCCCTCTCTCCAGACCCCCCAAACTTAATTTTTGGGTGGATAAAGTAAAAAAAAGGACTGCGCCTGATAAATTAAAAAGCAAGATGGGTGAAGCCGGTTTGACCAATCTCTGCCCAAACTGCTTCCTAACATGTCCACGCCCACCGATGCCTCGGGTTGCTTGACTGCGCACACGCTAACACCTTAGTGCCCAGCTGACCTCAGAATGCATAGCTACAGTCAATGCTGTCTTAGAATTACTGCTGGCCACCTTTCATCTAGTCCTGTGGGGAAGAAATTGTCTTCTGACGCAATAGGGTTGTCCGAAAGTACTCCGTCTTCCCCCAGACAACCCTACGTACTGTGTGCTGCACAGCTGAACAAGAGTGGTTATTTTAGAAATAGATGAGCGTGTGGAAGAAAGTCAGCAATTTTTACAATTGAGGTGTTTCTGTACCTTCAGGGTTGGTCCTCATTTCTGCTTCTGCCGTAGCTCTTCTCAGTCTAGCCATTTATGACATCTGCATTTGCTTAAGAACCTGTTTTTTGACTGTAACTGAGGCCAGGGCTGTTTTCCCTATCTTTATTTCCTTGAGATATTTACAAGGACTAGTAACACTGTAGGTATTTACAGGTGTTCGAATGACTATTTTGGGATGGCAGGCAGGCTGGGAAAGTCACTTTAGTAGTCACAGTCGATGCGCCAAGCACTCGGGACTCATCAAGTATATTCCAGTCCTTGGAGAGCAGGCATATTCCACTATCCATGCTTCTCTGAAAACTTAAAAAAAACCACAACCTCACCCAGTGATGGAGGCAGACCCAGCCAGAGGCTGGACAGGAAGCACCTTGCTTCCCATCCCCTGCCTAAAAGTTCAAGATGCAGAGTTCTTTGTGGTTCAGTCCAATGAGCTTGACAGCAAAATCAAATGAATCAAACCAGGAAAGCGTGGTCACCCAAAGAAACGGGGAAAGCATTTTTAAATCACTTGATATTTACTCTAAAAGTCAAAGTAATCGCTGGATTTAAAGCAGCACTTTCTGTTTTGAATTATACTTTATTAAGTTGTGGCTTAGTGTCAGTTTCTTATTTTGAATTATGTGGGAGAGGAATAGCATGTTTTGTTTGTTTGTTTGTTTTGGATTAAGAATCTTGGTTTTAATGCAGCCTCATGGAATAAAACTGTTAGTGTTTTCACTTAAAGCCTGGTCTAGTATTGATCCAAATGGGTGCTTCTGCCAGAGCAAGGGACACTGTGGCTTATGTAGCCTGGGGGTGATGTTGAGCCCAGGGTACATGGGTGAGAAGCAGAGGTAGCAGGTACATGCGGGCGAGGAGACACAGGACACTGACTGCCTTTTGACAGCTGAGTAAGCAGGCAGACCATCCGCGCTCCCATCCTCTATCTGGGTGCTGAGTCCGCGGCACAGCCTCCTGTGGTTTCCTCTCCCCTCTGTCCACTGACAGGACGCCTCCCCTGCTGTGGACATCCCCTAGGCAGGTGGCATTGCACTTGGGAAACCATGGAAGGCCTGGCCAGTGGAATCTCTTCTGATCTCTCCTTGCACAAGCTTCAATTTCACCAAGAGACTGTGCTCGCATGTCTGGAGAGTCAAACTGAAGAAGGTCTCGGTTGGATTTCTGGGTTTATAATCCTGATAAAGGATTGCCACAGGTTCAGGTAGCCAAAAGCTCCTCTGAGATGTTCAAACAATGCATCTGCCCGAGAAAGCAGGTGTGGCCGTCTGTGTTGTGGAGACCCTGGCTAGCTCCTTTGAAGTATGGAATAAAAGTGGGGTCCTGGCAATACAAAAGGGGTTCAAAATTCAGCATCCTTTAAGATACAAAATTGAATATTCTCCTTAAAACACACGACTGACCATACTTTCTCTTTCTAATGGCAAAAATGCCAAGGACAATATTAGGCTAAATTTACTAAACCTTTTCATAGCATGGAACAAGGGTGACTGGGAGACACCTGTTCTGTATTGGGCTTTAGGTTTCTCTGGGGTGATGCTGATGAGACAATACTTGTTCATCCATCTGATCTTGCACTTATACCCTGTCAGCAGTCAATGAGCTAGAAAAATGAAGCACACCATGGTAGACAGAATATGGCTCCCTAAAGGTGTGCATGTCCGAATCCCTAGACCCTGTGGGTTCTGTGCCTGTCTAGATATTCTTCAGCTCTCACTATGGGGCCAATGGGGAGAGCAAAGATCAGGGCAGAGCTGATATGGACCCAACATCATCATAAGGCTCCTGATCAGAAGAGGCAGAGGGCCAGTCACAGCATGTGATCGCTGAGAGGCCATGACAGGTGCTTAAATGAGAAGGTGTCTATGGCCACCCTGAAGATGGAGGAAGGGCCATGAGTCAAAGGAACATAAACAAAAAGCATAAAAGGCTTCAACAGGTGGAGAAGGCAAAGGACAGAGCCCCTGGGCAGACCTGGTCACTGTGGCAGCTTCGCTCTCCTTCCATTTCCTCATTTTTTCCAGGATGGGGCTGCAGAAGGGATGCGGTTCAGCTTGCACCTTCAAGATCAGACCTTTGAACTTGTGGCTCCAGAATGGGAAGACAGTTAAATCTGTCCTTTCTTTTCCCTCCCTCCCTCCCACTTCCCTTCCTCCCTCCCTCTCCCTCTCTCTCCCTCCCTCTCTCTCCCTCCCTCCCTCTCTCTCTCTCTCTTTTTAAAGGCCAAGCTGGTGTTGAGCAAGCTCTAGCTGAGGACGACCTTGAGCTTTGGATTCTCCTGCCTCCATCTCTGGTGCTGGGATCTTGAGCACGCACCACCAAGCTTGGTGTATGTGGTGCTGGGGATTGAGTTCTGGACTCATGTGCGTTCAGCAAGTGCTCTCCCAACAAAGCTACATTTCCAGGCCCAAGCCTTTCCTCTTTAAAGTTATAGCAGCCATAAGAAAAACAGAATAGATAAACACATAAACACTACAATGTATATACTCATGTTTATACTTACAAAGACTCTGCTCACTGGAGTTCAATTACGGACTGACTTGTAAATAAGCTTTTATCAGAAAAGAACTGGACACATTGAGTGGTGACAGAGCTTGTGCAACAGCTTAGATTCAGTCTGGACTCTCAGGAAGGCGAGGCTGGGGTGGTGTGTAATATGGAGAGATGGCTTTCTCTATGTGTGTCTCAAGTCATTGACCTTAAGGCCAGGTGAACATCAGATAACTCCTGTCACAATAGGAACCTACTTGAAGTCACCACGCGTACCTCCCGCAGCCTCCTGGCCACCTGCCCTAAGTGACCTCTCTTCTGCTCCTCCCTGTTGTATTCCTACTTCCCTGTCCCCTTGTTGTGGAATATCAGTTGAAGATGTGTTGCATTCGTTTATGCTGTGGGATATTTGTTTAATGATGCAAAGATGTGTGGCGTTCTTTCATGTTGCATTTGTTTAACTCTGTGAAGCTGTGTTACTTTGCCTGCCTAAAAGACCTGATTGGTCTAATAAAGAGCTGCATGGCCAATAGCTAGGCAGGAGAGGGATAGGTGTGACTGCCAGGCAGAGAGAATAAATAGAGAAAGAGGGAAGAGTGAGGAAAGGAGGAGAGAGGACACCTAGGGGCCAGTCACCCAGCCACACAACCAGCCATGGAGTAAGAAGGAAAGAAGGGTATAGAGAGGGGAAAAACGTGCAGAGGCAAAAGGTAGATAGGATTGTTTAAGTTAGAAAAGCTGGCTAGAAACAAGCCAAGCTAAGGCCAGACATTCATAAATAAGAATAAGTCTCTGTGTCTTTATTTTGGAGCTGGGTGGCAGGCCCCCAAAGAGTGGAAAAACCAACACTCCCTCTCTGCTCTCCCCCTGTTCATCCAGCTGCACCCTTATAATGACATTAGCTCCAGTTTAGGAACTGGGGCTGAGAGAATGAGGACCCTTCAAACACCCAGCAGGTGGAGAGATAGAGACAAATGTCTTCATCTGAGCAGGTCTATGTTCCAAGCTGGTCAGCGCCCAGTGTGAGCCACAGACCCTCTCCACGTTCCACAGCACAGCAAGGTCTTTTGCCTGGGAGCTGCATGGCCTGAGTCTGAGTCCCAGCTTCATTGTCTTAGTTTCCTCATCTGAAAAATCAGTGCAATATTAACACTTCTCTCAGAGTTGACCTGAAGATGATGAGAAGGTGTTTTGGACAGTACCCAGTCCTTAAGTGTTAACTGTTAGCTGTGCTTATTCTGGTTCCACTTCAGGCTTTCTCCTTTCCTTCTTCTTTTTCTTTTCCTTTTCCCCTGTCCTAAGACCAATTACAGATCCTTGATGGACACCTTCTGTGACCTGCGGTCTTAATGGTAACACTCTTATTTTTTCAAACCATAAGAGTGTGTGTGTGTGTGTGTGTGTGTGTGTGTGTGTGTGTGTGTGTGTGTGTGTGTTTTCCCCCACAGTGACTAGGTAACCATAGAGAGAGAGGCATACCTTCAGGAATAGCAGGTATTTTACCTAGTAATCTGAGAACTGGTCTAGGGGTAAGGAGCTGTGGGGAGGAGCCTGCTGCCTCTGGAGCAATCATCCTGAGAGTCAGTGCAAGAAAGACAATTGCAGCAATCTTGTAGGCCACTGAAGGATGGGTGGTGAGGTGAAGTGATGGCATGTGAGTGCATGCTGCCCACAAGCCTGTGGCTGGAAGCCCTGATGTGACCTCTGTGAAGGACCAACTTGGGCGTGATGACATCCTGACAGGCCTTTCTAGATGAGCTGCAGGATTCAGTGGTGACTTCCTAAGGCAGTGGCCTGGGACAGTGCAGAGTACCAGGCTGGATGCCCAGAGGGTTTGGTCCTGGACCTTGGTTCTTCCTGCGGTGACCACAACCGTGGACATTCGCCTTTCCTCTGGGCCGGCTCCCCAACTGTAAAGTGAGAGGTTGGTTGATCTCACCTTGAGGGCATGTCACAGGGGAGGACACTGATGGCTTGGTCACCTGCAGTATGAGGTGTCTCCTCTGCAGGGCTCTGATAGACGAGGCTTTGGAGTGAGCACTTTCTGGGTGTGAAGGAGGAAGCAGATGGTTGGTTGGACTAATTCTGGCAACGTGAACAGGACTGGACATGGGCATTTACAGCTCAGTCTTCCACTGCGAGATATCCATAAATAGTCTAATTCCGTTCATTTGGGAAGTTAGACATTTGGTTGATAAGCACAGTTCAGGGATGATGTAGCTCCTGGGACCCTTGCTTGGGTGTCAGTTAATTTTATTCAGAAGTTTTGGTGTGGGCCACCATTCATGTCTCATTCTGCTAGAAATGTGTTCAGATTTGCTTTTAAGATGTTTCTTACTTGTAAAATAAAATAAAAGGAAAAAAAAGATGTTTCTTACTGCTCACCCCCCACCCCCCCATCCAGGAATCTCTCACAGTCTCAAGCCCAGTGAGGTGAACAAATGAGTGAGCCTGGAACCCAGATGGTGGCTCCAGGAAATGCAGACACTCTGGTGAGGTTCACTGTACATGTATGTATGAAAGGTGTGGACAGCGCAAACCGGGGTCAGAACATGAGGGACGAGGCCGTCCTCTCCTCAGAGTGTATGGGTGCCCCTGACTGGCCTTTTCCTGTAATAGACCCTGAGGTGATGAATAAAACTGTCTGTCAACTCTCACTGAAATGTCACAAATATTTCCTCATTTCCTTCCCTTTGAGCAGTGACTGGAGTCTGTTCTATTAGGACCATTCTAGCCCAACGCCACTGTGTCTGCGTCCTCTACAGTTCTCTCCTTCTGGGCCACTTTCTCCATCTTCCCCGCCCCTCCCCTCCCCTCCCCTGCCCTTCCCTGCCCTCCCCTCCTCTCCCCTCCCCTCCCCTCTCCTCTCTTCTTCCATTCCTCTCTTTCTCATCCCCACTCCCCTTCTCCCCCCTTCTCCCCCCCCCCCCCCCCCCCCCCCCCCCCCCCCCCCCCCCCCCCCCCCCCCCCCCCCCCCCCCCCCCCCCCCCCCGCCTTCTCTCTCCCTCCCGGGCACACACCCATGCTGGGCCCTGGCATGTCACTGTTGGGGAACTCTGTCTCCTAGCCTGACGCTGTTTCGGTGTTGAAATCAGTTACTGTGACATTCGTAAAGGCCTTCATAGGATCAGGTCACTAACTTCCTGTGTGAGCAGGAAGGGAGCCCGAGGCAGCACAGAAGGCGGTGTGTGGGGCGTATGATGCCCCCACGGGGTATATTTTTGTTTGTTTGCCCTTTTGGATATGGTCGGACTGTGTTGCTCAGTCTGGCCTCCAACTTGATGCTCCTGCCTCAGCCTCCCCACCGCTAGGATTACAGTGTGCCTGCCAGGCGGCGGTGCCTTCGAGTTTGACATGGTGCCTGACCCTCCGTGATATTCCAGAGAAGCCTCACAAGGACCACCCGCTTGGAGTAAACGTAAATGAGCTACAAGAAGGAAATACCGATTCCGCACATCTGCCCCTGGCTGGTGTCAAGACCGTTGGCCACTTTGTTCAATTCACAGACAGAAACATCGGTGTTCATCCAAAATTCCACGTGCAAAAGGGCAAACATGGGCGCTGGCTCCATCCAATGTGGACTTCTGGGCGTGGGCAGGAAGAACGTCACGCCTTGTGTAGGTTTGCAGAGAAGAGTGTACGGGGAGCTACCTGAAACCTTTCCTTACCTCATCTTTTAAAGCAAAACCCCAGCTCCTGCCACACACACACACCGTATGTGTGTAGGATTTGTCAAGTACATAAGTACGTCTTCTATTTTCAAATTGTATTTATTTTGCACACACACACACACACACACACACACACACACACACACACACACACGTCATGGTGCATGAATGGAGGTCCGAGGACAGGAGAGTCAGTTCTCCCTTCCATGTGAGACACAGGGATTAAATTTGGGTCTTCCGGCTTGGTGGCCTGCACCTTTACCACTGAGCCGTCTCTGCAGGAAGTCAGTTCTCAGAGCACTTTATTTATTGTTTGACAATGACACGTGGGGTCACCCTACATTTAGCAACTATGTAAACATGTGTTCATCCGTGAATAGGTCTACAAATTGTTTTTTCTTGTTCAAAGGAATGAAATTCTGTCGAGCAACTTAATCCACTTGATAACTTCAAAAAGTTCAGAGTGGTTTTAATAAGATAAGCATCTAAAGTAAAGATACCACCTCTCTATAGATCACTCTGCAAAAGCGGCATGGCAGCAGCCCTCGCGAAGACCCTAGGCAAGTGGTAAAATGACAGACAGTAGTTCATTATGAAAGGCTGCATGGCGGCTCCAGGCTGGGAGGGGGGCAGAGGAGGTGGCCCATGTGTTAGATAGAGCATGACTGTCAGCTCTTTTTAGAGGCAGAAGCAGCATTTCTGAAATACAAAGGGTCCACGACGTTTCTGTGGGAAGCTCAGAAGGGAGGGAATAAAAGAACACTCTTGGTACTATTTCTCCACGGGGCCCAGTAGTTTTGTGCCCAGCCTTTTTATATGTGGAAGCTAACTGCATCGTGTAATAATGAGAACACCAAGTGAGGAGACACAGATAAGGACTGCGGTCCTGTCCCGTCTGTTCCTGTCCTCATGCTGCCCGCGTAGGGATACCAGCCCATCGAGGGGCGGCCCTTGCTGTGGCTCTTGTCCTGGCCCAGTCACTACGATCCCCGGAGGCTCAGATGACCCTTCTTTGGCCACAAATGAACACGGTGAAACAGTGAGACTTAAGCACGGCTTGCCTGGCCAGGTGCCTTCAACCCCAGGCCTCCGGGGTCCTGCTGTCACCCTTTGCTAATGCCACATTTAACCCTTACGGCTGTTGCCCAGGCTGCCCTGTCCTCTGGCACATAGATCAGCTGGTCTCTCTACAGCTGTTTACTGAGCGCTGGGTTGGGCAGCAGGCACTGATCAAGAGGAGGGAATCTAGCAGTGGATGCAGATGTGAGTTCCTGCTCTGTCTGATCCAGTGATGCAGATGAGGAAAAGACACGGGCCAGTGCAACACAAAGGGCAGAGGGATGTTGTTAGACAGAAACGCCAGGAGAGCCTTTATGAAAGAGAAAGGGTGTTTGCAAGCTGAAGCAGTCAGGGAAGAGCCCTGGGATAAGGAGACCAAAGCCGGCTGTAGGGCGGGGCTGGCTTTCTGGGAAGAACCGCACTGTGAAGCAGGCTTTCCACCCCAGGTAAGCAGCCACCATTCCTTTGTTGGGTCGCCAGTGAAGGCCAAAGCCACCCTGAGGAGCTGGGCTGGCTCTGCAGCGTTCTCACTCGTTATGTAATAATGGGGACAATGATAACTCAGAGCTGCTCGGAGGTTGAGAGTCAAGGCCCAGCTCCAGCCCCAGGTCGACCAGGGTCCCTCAGAAGCCATTTCACAAAGCCGTCAGCGTCTCCATGCCTGCACTCGTGGAGCTGTATGCAAACATTGGTTCCCTCGGACCTCCCTGGAAAAAGGAGAGACTAATGAGCACAGAGAAACAGAGCCTTTGAAACCAGAGACTCACTCTGGAGTCTGAGTTATGTAACCCTGAGCAAGACATTGACATGAGGAACTAAAAGGTGTTTATGTCATTAGAGACCGAGTTCCAGCCAGGCGATGGAGGTGTGTGCCTCGCACCGTGCTGGCACGTGGAAGAAGTTCAGTGAGCTAGCACTGGGGTGGTTTTGGCCTCTTGAGCCCTCTCATGGCAATGGACTGGCCATCATCAGCTGTTGGTGAAACTGTGGCCCCTGAGCATCCAGGATCACAACACCGGCTATAAGTGCTCCTTGCATATCAGAGGAGCTAGGTGGAGGTGGGGTGGGGCCATATCAGATAAGCTAATTACATTTGATTTGCCTCTGATTCCTGTCCCCTAACAGAAGGGCCTGGTGTCATTCCCATGTAACTTTAGGATATCATGGTCTCTTTGTGTCATTCTACAGGCATATCATTTGCAGATGGATTTGGATGAATAAGATATTTATTTTAAATGTGGCAAGAGAGCCATTGAGATGGCTCAGGATGTAAAGATGCTTGCTGCTAAGCCTGATGGCCTGAGTCCAATGCCCCAAGCCTGCAGGGAGAAGTGACTCCTCCAAGTTTCTCCTCACCTCCACATGATCCTTGACGTGTACAGACATATAAAAAAAAGTAATGCTTTTTAAAAGCATACAGGTTCGCAGTCTCCTAAAACACCTGCTCACTAAAATCAGCCCTTCAGAGGTGCTTTGCAGAGTCATTTGTTCAGGCAGAGGAGCCCTGTGTGGCTATCCAGGAAGAGACAGGATTTCAGCTGCCTTCCCTTCCCCAGCTAACAAGCTTGCAGAAGCTGGAGAGCAAACCACCTGCCTGGGATGGACCTTCAGGGGAGGTCACCAAGCCCGCTCTGGTCACAGCCCAGAGGCCCAGAGGCACTAAAACATGGTCTCCAACTGTCCAGCTAAACCTCAGGTCAGAGTAGCCATGGTGGTCTCCACTCTGGGATTGGAAGGTGTAAATTCAGTTTTAATCACATATTTTGACGTGAGAAAGTGTAGCCTGTTCGGGTTTTTGTGTTTCTCCCTGTTGGTGTGATTACTGACTGTCTCTCAGAGGGTCAGGAGTTGAGTGCGAGAGTGTTTCCAGACTCAGGCTTCTGTGACCGACTTTGTCCCATGCGGAATGCTGTCCAGGGCCTCTGGCTCCACCTGCAACCTGCCGCACGGTGCGCTCCGCGGGGAATTTACTTGGTTAGGGTCCTACTGAGGGCTTCTTAGGGGGGCCAGCTCTTCACTCCTAAATGCCCCCAGTAAATGTCACCACAGCACCTGCCAAATTGCCCTACAAAGTGCCAACTAAATCCCCACACCAATGCACGAGAACACTCAAAAACTCCATACTGGAAAATGTAAAGACTTCTGCCCCAAAATGTGTATGGTATTGCGGTTTTGTTTTAATTTGCATATAAATGCACACCAGTCCAGAGAAGTATGTTTGCTGAGCACCAAGGCCTCCTCTTCAACAGTTATGCTCTTCCTCTCCTGTAATTTTCTTCAAACTCTCTCAATAGTTTTGTCATGTTAAAATTTTTTTCTTTTCTTTCTTTTTTTTTTTAAGATTCCTTTTAGTGAGTGAGTGTGTATGTATGTGTGTGTGTGTGTGTGTGTGTGTGTGTGTGTGTGTGTGTGTGTGTGTGTGTAGGATCATGCTCATTCATACATATACAGGTACCCTTAGAAGTCAGAAGAGGGTGTTGGGTCCCCTGAAACTGGAGTTACAAGTAGTGAGCTGCCTGATGTGGGTGTTGGGAAGCAGTCAGTGTTCTTAACCCCTGAGACACCTTTCTGGCCCTTTAGGCACAGGGTTTTTGTTCTTGTTTTTGATGATTGTTTTTTGACCCATTGTTTGAATCCACACATGCACAGAGCTATTTGCAAAACATGCTTTGTACAGGGAGAGTTGGGGTTCAAGCCCGTATCCTTCTTAGGCCATGCCCAGGTGCTGGGGTGCTTTCCCAAATACCAGGCCAACTACTACTGGACAGTGAGCACAAGGAGCTCAGCTGGTACCTTCCTGCTCCATTCTCCTCTTCTTCCTCCCCCAGGACAGACATTTTTCTCCTCACGTAAGTGAACCTGCCGGCCAGTGAATCAAGCTTACTGTCTTTAGTCTCACAGAAGAGGGGACTCAGTAGAGAGAAACATGGTCAAGAGTGGAGCCAGAACATGGCTGAGCTAGTGGACTGCAGATGTATACCTCAGGGACGGAGTCTGCATTGCAGATCCTCTTCTGTGGACCATGTTCTGTCTGGAGCTGCCTCCTGGTAAGTCTCCCCTGTTCACGGTACCGCCACACCTGCTGCATGCCTGACCTAGGGTTGTCCTGCAGTCTGCAGCTGCTGACATCGCAGTGCCAGCTGCCTTTGGCCCAGGCAGGTTTTGTGAGGTGGAACATGCACAGCAAGGGTGCCAGGCACGTCCTGGGTGGGCATCACTTTCAGGAACATCGCATTATAGTCTGTAAGAAAGGGAAGAATTCTAACCCGAGTGCCCGGGCATGGAACGCTCTTTCTCGATAGCCATGATTCCCTTGTCTCATGCTTAGCTGAGTTAATAGATGAATGTTGGCCGAAATGGAAATTAATTGTATTACTTCAGCAAAGAAAGTCCATCTGTGCCAAATGGAGGGGCCCTTGAAAGGCATTTCTACCCTGGCTTGACTTGTGACTTTAGTTGAAATGGTCCTGCTGTTCCTACCAGCAGTTATTAGAACCCTCAAGGAATGTTTGGAAGGCAAAGGCAGTGTGAGGGACCCAGCAGGGCAAGGAGATGCTGAGCAATTATTCTGGCCGTTTGGATAGCTGAGTGGGGGTAAGAGGCAGCTTAGGACCATAAACAACCAGGGTTGATGCTGGTGGCCCCTGGTGGCTCCATTCCAAGAGCACCCGTGGGTAGCCTCTGTCCCCACTTGGCACTCTCCTCCCCAGGCCTGGGTGGCTCTTCTCCTGCCATCTGGGGGATGGAGAAGGCCCTTGCCCTTGGCCATGATTGCTACTGAAATCAGCCCAGGTTAAAGAGGAGGAGGAGGGGTGATCGGCGGGACTATTGTATCAGAAGCTCTCAGGGCGGGCGGGCGGGGCAGGCCTCTGCATGGTGGGACCAGTTCCTGCAGGAGATGCTTGGAGAGAAGCAGCACCCTGCAACCTGTGTAGGCTTTGGTGCAGCAGCTGACTCAGAGCACGGGGCTGATATCCGTAATTGCCGGCCCAGGGGGAACTGAGTCTTGCACAAATGTAGGGACCTTCTTGGTCCCGCAGCCCCTCCCAATCCTCCTTCTAAGAGGGAAAGAACTTCTCAGAAAACAAATCTTTAGAATTCTCCACCACCAGTCCATTAAGTCCAGAGGAACCACGGTAGTAGAATGTCCTGTCCTCACCTCCCCACACCGGCCCAGCCAGGTGAGCTTTTCCAAACACAACCATGGAGATGTCAGCCCTCCTCCGGATCTGGAGCAAGAAGACCCACAGGGCCTGCTGGCCTGGCTCCTGCCCACACCTCTGCCTCACTTCGCACCTGTTACCTCCACCCCTCCCGGAATGCAGCAGATAATACTCACACTTGCCTGAGCTGGGCGTCACTCTGGGTGCTGAGGATTTTCCAGGTGAAGCCCTTGCCTTCATGTATTGCATTCTAGGAGGGAGAGATGGACAGTGTGCATGGTAAGATGGCCTGAAGTGTTCAGGAGGGAAGTGAAATGGAAGGGCTGAGCAAAGGAACCTCACTAGTAATGATCCCCTGGAGCAAAGACCTGTCAGAATCTGAGGAGAGCCTTACCAGAGGGAAGGCCGGGAATGACAAGGAGGTCACTGTGGCCAACCGGGGAGGAGGGTGGAAAGATGGGACGGGATCAAAGAGGTTGCAGGTGCTCATAGGCCGGCTCTCCCTCTGTGGACTGGAGTTCTGAACCCGGTGAGGACATGCCCCTCACACACTTATTTAAAATTTGAACACACCCCTCCACTGCTTTGGGGAGAGCAGGACACAGGTGAGCACCCAAGCTGGTAAGCAGCAGGAGGGGATCATGGAGACTCAGGCCAGTCTTGGTGGCAAAGCTAGAGAGAACAGGCCAACTCCAGACTTACTCCATAGGTAGAGATCTGTTGCCTAATGGCCCGCTGTGGCTGTGAGAAAAGTGGAGGACTCAGATGTGGTCCTGAACTTTTGTCCCAGTTACGGGGGTTGGAGGTGGGGGCCCTTGGTCCTTGCAGAAATAGGAAGACTTCAGAGGTGTGGTTCAGGGAAAATGTAGCACCTGACAGTGTACAAATTCCATATGGCCATTGGACATTGTGGGGGCAGGCGGCTCACCAGACACTTGGGTGCTGGAGTCTGGAGTCCAGGGGCCGCTCTGGCTGGAAACAGCTACCTACCAGCCGGCTGAGGCATCATCAGCCCTGGATCTGGCTTCAACTGTCATTTGAAATCGATGGCTGCCAACTTCGGTGTGCCCTTGGGAAGATGGAGATGAGTTGAGGAACTGAGCTCTGGGACTCTTCAGCGTGTTTGGGGGCCAGGAAGACGGATGAGGGTCAACATAAGACCCAAGAACCAGCAGCCACAGGTAGTAGAAGGTGAGTCAGGAATGTGGAGCTGGGAGAAGAAGGTGTCTCCAGGGACAAGGACCAGATGAGGGTGTGGTGGGGACTTGGTCATTCGGCAAGTGACTGGTGACCTTGAGAAGGCCTGTTTTGTGGAGACCTGAGGGACAAGGCTGATGGAATGGGGCCAAGGCAGAAAGGGAAGCCAAGAATGGAAAGCCATAAGCAAAGAGCCCTTTTAAAAAGTGAGTTTTGCTCCATAGTGCAGTAAGGGATGGGGCTGCAGCTGAGGAGAGAACTGCTTCTCACAAGTTGTCTTCCCACCTCCGCACTACGTCACGGCACATGCATACACACAACAACAACAACAACAATAATAATTATAGCATGGAATTAGGAGAAGTGGTTTTCCAGGTAGAAGTAACAAGATGCTTGTAGGGCTCAGAGACTTACAAGACAGAGAGATGAGAATGTCAAGTTCTGTCCTCAGGAGGTTCCAAGACAAGAGGCAGAGTCTAAGGACAGGCAGAGAGTGAGGGGCAGAGTCTCAGCTTAGAATGGTACCGCACCATTGTCAAAATGCTGACACGTGGACCAACTTCACCGCTCTGCCTGCTTGCTTACCAGAACTTTCTATGCCATTCAGAGTAGCTATTGCAGACCCTGGGTTCTAAGTGGCCTGCTGAGACAGTGGAGACCCCATTATGCTGTGCATGGTCTCCAAGTTTTTACCTCATTAATGCTTATGATCCAGCCCTGTTCTATATCCCATGGCATATAACCCCTAAAACTCGACTCCAAGGCTAGCAACCCATTTGGGGGCCCCCTCTCAACCAGTGAACTTCCTTTTACTTGATGAAGTCCTCCTCCTCTTGACCCTTCCCATCACAGAGGCCAAGCTCTGGTTTCTAAGCAGAGGGTTGACTGTAAGCTTAAAATGAGGGTGGTTAGCCACAGAGGTGCTATGTGGGGGCAGGTGTGAAATAAATAACTAGATTTAGCCAAAGTTGGCCTCCCCCTCCCCCCCCCTGGAAGAATGAAACAAGAAAGGACAGCAGAATTAGAGCTATGCGGGAGGGTTATCAGATTAATGAGGTGACATCTGCCCTGGGTGAGAAGGGACTGGGGGAGGGGAGAGAAGGGGAAGGATTTTTGGAGCTCCAGAGTGAGTGACCGGGGAAGGCAGGCACGCTGGCCAGTGGGAGGTGTGACGGCAGGAAGTGACATATCTAGCAACTGGGGACTGAGTGGCAGGGCAGGTGAGGGACAAGCCCACTGATGGGGGAGTGGCCTAGGAGGGGAAGGCCAGGATGCTGAGCCTCGGGATGGCCAGCTATGACATCCTCGTTCCTTGTCTGATCTTTGCCATAAACAGCCCGGGGACTGTATTTCCTAAAACTGTTTTCTGGTAAGATTCTAGTCAAGTTTCCACCATCGACCAACACATCTCAGAGGGCTGGAAGTAGAAGAGAAACAGAAATGATGTGGTTTCTCTGCCTAGACAAGGCAGACATAAGCCTCAGCCCCAGAGGGCCACAGAGCAGCAGATCTAAGTTGAGGATTCTCCTATGCTCTGGCTACTTCCCGACTCCCTGAAAGCGGGCGACAGAGTTAAAACGGAGAGGTGGCCCTGCTGGCTTTTGTTAGCTAGCCCTTCCAGTGGTGTGTTTCAGGATCTGAGTCTCTGTTGAATACCTCTGTACTTGAGAAATCTTCGGGGTGAGGGTGGGGGCTTCTTTCTCTGTTGAGTGGTTTTGGGGGTATCAAATTCCTCCCACCAGGGGCCTTTGTATCTGCTGTTCCTCTATGAGATGCTCTTCTCCGGTGCCCTCCTTTTTAATCCGTCCACTCTGAGCTCAGTTGTCTCTTCCTAAGGGATGCTCTGATCTGATGCTCAATAAACACGACACAAACATAGCCCTTCTACTATGGTTGACAACTATTGTGGTGGCTTGTCTGTGGTCCATCCGCAGTGTCTCTGGCCTCAGTCTAGAAGACTCAGACAGCTTGGATGACCGGGATGACTCTGGGATGAAATCCTCTGGAGACATCTTAACTTGTATGCTTGGTGCCTGGACCGGAGTTGTTCAAATTCAGACCTGTTGCTGTTCACTGTCAACACACACAGCCTCCTCGTGGACTGGGGCTTCCTTTTAACATGGCAGCCTAAAGGCAGGTTGATTTTCCCTCCAAAGGGTGGTGGTGGGGGACCCAGTTTTCTATGCCAGGCACCATTGTTACAGATGTTCACTGCTGTCTACATTCTTGTCTGTGTAAGCACTCACTGTGAGGACAATCTGAGTCGGGACCTGCAAGCCCCACCCCCAAACCGAGCAAGAGAGGGAACGAGGCAGGAAGTGAGCCAGAGACTTCACATTCTCTGGAGCACTATCTACACTGTCCCCATGGGAAGTGCCCAGTGTCCCCAGAGCTTGCATTTTATGAGGGAATCCTGAACTCATGCACATCCTTCCAACTGCATCTCCAGTGCTTGGCTATATAGTTGGCAGGAAAATATAAGAACCATCTCCACCCCTATTGCTCTCTACCATGTCTGTCCTGGGTGTTCTCTGACAGAGAAAAAGGCAGAGCCTATTGTAATGTGTGAGGGTGGGTGGGTAGCCATCCCACCTCCTGGCTAGGCCTCAGTGGAAGGTGATGGGTGAGCCAACAGAGTAAATTCCACATGGAGTTTACATGGTTGGTCTCTGTCCTTACCCTGCCTCATTTATCTTATAAATGGCTGAAATGAGCTGAATAAGATCATTTACCTTCCCACACACCAAGTTAACTTTTGATCATTTTGCTTCTGTGGTCCAGGGAAGTGCCTGGCATGGAAAATGTCCAGTGGGTTCCTGGAACTGAAGGGGCATGGAAGGTGCAAGGAGGCGAGTACACCAGATTGGTCACAGGCGAGCCAGGAAGCTAGCAACTCAATACGATTCAGTGCAAAAGTAAGACCCGTGGCTGCCATGTTCATGCAGAAGCCATCCCTTGACACACGCCGGGGCTATGTTTTTAAGAGCATGTCTGTAATTTAAAAAGGCATTTGTTAAAATCAGCTTCCTAGGAAGTAGAGGGAAGAAAGGGATTCAGGTACCTGAGCAATCCTTGGGAGATGTCAGAAGCTGCAGGATTCTAGTCTATGCCATGGAAACTGTAAGTACAAAGGTGTGTGACTCAGCACTGAACTGCTCCCTGGGGACAGGATGGAGCAGAACTGTGGGAGCCAGGCTGTGCAGAGGGAGGGTGCCTTAGCCCTGGCACACAGCAGCAAACTCAACTGGGGGTGTTGACTGTTGACACGTGGATGTGTCAATACAGACAGCAGCAAGTCACGAGTTCCACGGCTTCTTGGGTTAACAAGATTACAGTGCTGTGCCAAGCAGCAGAGAGGAAGACGTCCATATGCAGCATGCCACCCTCCCTTATTGCTCACTGGCACTAGTTCCTGGTGCTGGGGACCCAGAGGTGGCAACATATTGTGGTGTTCCTAGCCACCAGTATATGATGAAAGGGAGGGACAAATCTTGGACAGAAAAGTGTGTATGCTTCCAGAGTTTTCTGTTGAGTCTAGGGTTGGGTCCAGAGTTGCTTGACTTCACCCCAACACACACACACACACACACACACACACACACACACACTCTCTCTCTCTCTCTCTCTCTCTCTCTCTCTCTCTCTCTCTCTCTCTCTCCAGGGGTTTCCGCAGATGAGCCTCACAGATTTCTAGAATTAAACTAATGAATGTCATTAATTTCTCAGTAAGAACTCGGGATAGCGTCTGGGGTCCTTCCTAGTCACGCACCATCCCCTCTGACACTTGGAGGCAGCAATCTGCAGCAGTTCCAGAGGCCCCACTCTCACCCCACAAGGTGGCCCCATGTGGATGGATCCCTTGTGAGGATTCCTTCACTGAGCAGCCTGGGGATGAGGCACAGTGGCTGAATTCCTACAGACAACTCCCAAAGGCAGCAGTATTTCTCCCCCCACAGGTGAGGAAGTGGGGTCCTGGGAGACAGAGACGTCTTCTCATTGCAGAGCTCCCTATGAGAGAAGCCAGGATTAGCAGGGAGCCCAGAACCTCCAGAGCAGTTCCCAGTTCCTCTGTCTGTCTGTCTGTCTGTTTGTCTGTGTCTCTCTCTGTCTGTCTCTCTGTCTCTCTCTGTCTCTGTCCCTCTGTTCCTCTCTGTCTGTCTGTCTGTCTCTGTCTGTCTGTCTCTCTGTCTCTGTCTGTCTCTGTCTGTCTGTCTCTGCCTCTCTGTCTCTCTGTCTCTGTTTGTCTCTGTCTGTCTCTGTCTCTGTCTCTCTCTCTCTCTGCTCTCTGGGGGCTATTTCAGTTGCCCACACTGGCTCAGATCAAAGCAGGCATTCTTTGATGTGTGTGAATGGAGGCTCCTGCAGATGTTTGGAGAAACAGCGGGGGAGTGAATGGGAGGAAACTGGTTGGGGCAGTAGGTGGAGCATACTGCAGGCTGGGGGTGTGGGTGGGATGGGTATGGTTGGATAAACCCTGTTGGGCCTCTCGTGTTTGGGACAGGAGAGCAGTAAGGGAGGGGTCCCCTCCATGCCAAAGTCACAGCTATGTCCACAGAGCTCAGCCCAACCTGGGCAGCTTTTATTTTTGTTAGTGGGGTAAGCCAAACTTCCTCCAGCAGCTTCCTGGCTTTTCAAGGCCTTCCTCTCCTTCTCCCCAGGTCACTGGGCTAAGAAAACACAGCACGTCCACCTGGCCGGTCTCCTAGACCGAAGGTGAGAGGAGAAAGGAAAAGCCTGGTCCTCATTCAGTGTTTATTGAGGACTTTCTAGGTGCTAGGTGCTTGGGACGAAGAGCCCTGACCGTGGGTTACTTCAGTGGAGGTGGGATGCAGTAAATAATGACCACAAGAAGTGAACTGGGTCCTGAAGGCAAGCCAGAGCAGCAAGCCGGAGCAGCAAGCTGGAGCAGCAGCCAGAGCAGCTGAGCAGTGGGGTGTGGCTGAGGGCTGGTGACAGCAGCAATCTCCACAGGGGCATTCAGGGCAGACTTGTCCTTGCAGGTTTCCAGGACACCCGTCCAGGCAGAAGCTGAAGAGGAGAGGAGAAGCCTGTGTGTCCCAGGAACAGAAGGGGAGCAGGAAGCTAAACTGGAAGGCGCAATGAAAGAGCAGCTAAGAGTCCCAGTGATGCTGGGCAAGGGAGCGGCAGCTAGGATCAGGGAGGACTTTGGATATAGCTGCTTGAGGGAACAGGCGCAGTCTCTCTGGATGGATTAGATTTAGAATATTCCCTTAGAATGAGGAGTCTAAGAAGACCTTGGGATGGATTCTTGGCTATGACCACTGAGAGTAGGGAGCATCCCTCAGTGGGGATAGGGATGAGGGGGAGCAAGGAGTACCTTCAGTGGGGATGGAGAAGAGGGGGAGCAGGATTGGGAGGAGGGAGCACCCTTCATTGGGGATTGGGAGATGGGGAGATGGGGAGATGGGGAGAAGAGATGTAGGCTTTGGGTGCTGGGGAGATCCAGCCATGAGAGACATGGGCTCTGGTGGCAGGATCAAGCAGGAACAGGGTGTACAAGTCAGAAGTCTCGGCTAGGATGTGAGCAGTGGGGGTTTGTCCCGTAAAAAGACATCCCAACAGTACAAACTGTAGACAGGACCAAGGTCAAGGCTGAGCCCTGAGCTCCATCCCGCCAGGAAGTCAAGAGAAGGAGCTCCCCACCCCCACCGCAGGCAAGAGGGAAGCCCATGTTCTGGAAGCCCAGTGAGAGACGGCCCTAATGAGGGAGGGGCTGGCACAGGACGGGGCAGAGCCCACTGCCTTGGCTGAGAGCAGCCAGCGGCCCTCCCCTTTGAAATGGAAGGTCGTTTTGGTATTTAAAGACTCCAAGCCGACCCATCACAGAGACGGGGCATACCAGAGTTGGCTGAGGGCTATTCACTACAGCTGAGTTATGGGACCCACCTGGGTGTCCAGCAACAGAGTCCAGAACAGAAACCTTTTTCCCCCCTAGCCCTAAAGAAGAATGAAGTTAAGTCCTTTGCAGGAAAATGGATGCAACTGGAGAGAATCACATTATGTAAATGAATCAAGTCTGTCTCAGAGAGACAGATGTGCACGCTTTCTCTAGGTGTGGCCTTGCACATAGGCTCACAGGTGTCTCATGCCATGACAGCAGGAGTGAGGCTGGGAGCCAAGGGGAAGGAAGGCAGAGTCCTGTTGTACATTAGATACCTGCAGGAAAATGGCTTATGCAATCCTGTATGATAGGGGAAATTAGGGGAAATGATACTGCATCCAAACTAAGGAAGAAGCACTGAAAGACACAGTGGCCATCCCACAGGCTTGTCCTGTAAATCTGTGTGCAGGAAGCGTGTGGCATGCCAACGGCTCTCACCCCGCATGACTCTCACCCCGCATGGCTCTCCGTGGGAGAACTTACCCAACAGTAATGCTGATTAAAAAATAAGATGGTGGTAGAAGCCAGGACAATGAGGCTTGTTTATGCCCCAGAAAAAAAGTACACAGGAGACACGCCCTTGTCCTTGCACAGTCCAGCTGCGGGTGGGCACTGCCCAGCACTAGAGGCACAGGCTGGACCCTGAGGCCAGGACCTGAAGGGCTTTGCAGGAGGCAATCACCTGGCCTGGGCTGGAAGAGTGAGTGGGGATGAAGGGCAGAGAGGTAAAGCCAGGCCTCCTGGGGCTAAAGAGAGCCCGAGTGAAGACAGCATCGCACACTGGTGCGTGATGGGGGGGAGGGGCTCGGGGAAAGGAAAGAAGGTGGGTCCCTTACACGGTGACCAGTTTCCTAAACGCACAGTGAGGACATGGTGGGGTGGATGAACCTGGGCCCTTCCCGCCTGACTTCCAAGCCTGCTGAACCCCTGTCTGTCTCACAGAGTGAGGCTGGTTAAGGCAGGTTCACCCTGCTTTGGTGTTGTGTTGAAGAGGCACATGCCTGCCTGTACATTGGGGGTGGGGTGCGCCCCCTGAGCCATGGGCCTTCCTATGAAGGACCAGGTGGGAATTTTTCCCATTGCTGTAAAGACACTCATCCCTAAGCAGGCGATGGTGGCCCACCCCTTTAACCCCAGCACTTGAGGGGCAGAGGCAGGTGGATCTCTATGAGTTCGAGGTTAGCCTGGTCTACAGAGTTGCAGGACAGCCAGGGCTATGTGGTGTCTCAAAACAAAACAAAATAAAGAAACAAAAAGGCACTTATCCCTGAGGACCATCCTGAGGAGACCAGAGGACATTCTCTGCCCTTGAGGTCCCCTTCTGGCACAGACAATGCCACCGTGCAGTGAGTTTCTTCCATCACTTCTTCCCTGTCCTTACCAGCCAGGCTTTTCCTCCCTGCTCACATTTTAGATGCTCCCTCTGCGCCACACACACACACACACACACACACACACACACACACACACACACTCAACCTGCCCCTGCCCATCTGTCCTCGGAGCACAGATCCTTCTCAGAAGGGATTTCTGAAAGACCCTGTCACCAGCTGCCAGGCATGACAAGGACTACAGGGAAGCCACTTAGGGAGCTGGCAAGACGAAGACGGAGAACCAGGAAGAGTAACAAAGACCTGCAGATTCAGAGGGGGTCCTGGGCAGAGGCGGGGAAACAGATGAGAGCTGAGTCCGACACAAAAAACTGAGTCCACTGGGCAGGCAGGGCACATTGCTGAACAAGGGCTGAGACGTTGAAGCAGGTCAGATGTGTACAGTTCAGGCCTGGGCCCCACAGATGTGTCCAGATGCCCAGAGTAAGAGGGTATTCTCACCCCTGAGCACAAGGTCCCTTGATGCTCCCTTCAGGGTCCCCAAGCTCACAGACCCAGCAAAGAAGCATCCGGAGAAGACAGGGGCGTGAGGAAGTTTATGTTCTGTCCAGCCTGTGTGGGGTAGCCTTCCTTAACTCTGGGTCTTTGGGGGGGGCGTTGGTGGGGCTCTGTTTGCAATAAGATTACTAGGAAATCAAAAGGATATAGGAGGTGAGAAGGGGGTCAGTACTGACTGCTTGCTTGCTTGTTTGTTTTATGGTGGTTTTGTTGTTGTTTTTGTTTGGTTTTGGTTTTTGGTTTTTCATTTTTGGAGACAGGGTTTCTCTGCATAACAGCTCTGGCTGTCCTGGAATTCACTTTGTAGAGATCGGCCTGCCTCTGCCCACCATGTGCTGGGATCAAAGGCGTGCACCACCACCACACCTGGCTCAGTACTGACTTTTTTAAAGGTGAGGAGAGTGGGGTTTTGTTGTTACTTCTTTGGGCAGTGTCTCCCTCGGTGCCCCACACTGTCCTAGCAGTCACAGCCTTCCTGCCTGCTAGGCATGCTCCCCAACACCAAGCTGGAAGAGAGCGCTCAATGCACAGTGCCCCTGCTGCCGGGAGGGAGGTTCCTGATCAGGCATGGTGGGTGACTCCACGAGCCCATGAGTTAGCTGCTTTGCTCCATCTGCAGAGTGGGTGTGTGTCAGGTAAAGGAGAGTGTGGGTGTAAGAGTGTAAGCAGGTGTGAGTTGACGGTGAGGTGTGAGTGCACGAGACAGCATGTGTGAGTGGGGTCTAAGTGTGAGTGAGTGTGATCATTCATGTGGAGGCATGTGCCTCAGGCAGGTTATGTGTGTCTAGCTGGAGGGATCAACCTGAAATCTTGCTTCTATTTCTGTGGTCATCAGTGAGAGGACCCACCCCAGGAAGGAAGTAGGTGGCCAGGTCTAATGGCAGTGGGGACCAGAAGCCTTCAGTCCCCTCCTGAACCCCCAGCAGTCCTCACCCTACCCCTTTCTGGGTCACTGTTCACCCCTTGGTCAGTCTCCCACATTCCCACCCGGAAGCAGTTTGAACCAAACTTGTCTAGGCCAGAGCAGCCAAACCATCATGAGTCTCTGTGGCCATCTGTGGGTTTTGTGGGGAGAGCTAACACTGGGAGAAGATGGGGGTGTGTGTCACAATTTAGAATGCTGGAGGCAGTGTGGGAGAGTGATGTCTGCTGCTCCCATGATGCTCCAGTCCCTCTGGGGGCTGCGGGTGGCTGGGGCAGGCTGAGAAGTGGGTGACCTGCTGGCCTTGCTTTTGTGAGCTGGACACAAGAGAACAAGTGCTATTCCCTGACCACAGGCCACTCTCCTTCTCCTCCTACCTTGTGCCCCAGAGGCCAGCAGTGTCTGTGAGGACGTGACCGTCCACACTCTCACATACCACCCAACAGCAGCCAGGTCACTCCTTGGGCCCAGGAAAGGTTGTGGTATTTGGGATATACTAAAAAACACCCTGTGTGTCTGAGCCCAGGAACCCTGGGCTCTGCCTGGTGGCCCTAGCCAGGGTATCCAGTGACATGACAGTGCTCTGTATTCATTGGAACCCCTGCAAGAAGGTCCAGGGTACCCTGGGGAGAAGCTTCGGGGGTCCCAGTACTAGAGTGTGTAGAGGAAGCAGACATGGTGGGTACGTCACGGCCTTAGGTTGCCCCTCCCATGAGGATGGGGATTGAGATCTGGGTCCCTGCGAAGTCAGCCCCTGGGTAGGGTCCGTTTGCCTCCTTCATGGAGACGGAGAAGCACAGCTTACCTTCCATCACGGCTCTGCTTGAGACAGGAGCACCGTGGGGATATTCACAGCTCTGTTTCCCCAACCGCCTGTGAGGTCTCAGGCCCTGGGAGACAGTGTCCCAGAGCAGCATAGAGCCAGGGCTGCCCGGAAAGACACGGCACACCAGATAGACTTCAATTTCAGATAAGCTCTGAGTGGTTTCTATCATCAACCTCCTGTGCACTATTTTGGGGCCATAAATTCTTTAAAAGTATTCCTTGTTTATCTATCTTTAAAAATATTCCTTGTTTATCTAAAATTCAATTCAAGCCGGTGCCAGGATTTAGTTGCTATTTGTTTGTTTCTGATACATATGGTCCACTGCTGGGGCAGGGACTTTGGACTCCAGACCCTGGGCTCCACCTAGACTTCCCTCCTTCTGGCTGTGTGACATGACCCCCAGGCTTATGCCCCTTATCTACCTCCCAGGGTGAAGCACTAAATGGTATCCATACAGCTGTTGTTCTTGTCTCTAGTCAACAAGGGTCCCACAGCTGAAAGACTGGGGAGTGTCACCCTCCAGGCACTAGTTATTTTCTTGCTTATCCAAAGGTCACCACTGCCCCCAGATCCTACAGCCCTCTCAAGGGACCCAGCAGAGAGAAGGGTGAAGTCCTGTGACCAGAAAGGCAGGCCCTGGGCCAGAGAAGGAAGTTGAGCTCAGGTCTGGAGACCCTGTCCCGACTTCTCTTTGAGCCAAATGAGATAAAGCATCAGGGGTGGGCGCTGGTTTGTTTTGTGCCTGGTCCCTGCTGGACATTTGTCATGGCGTTGCATCCTCCAGGACCTTCCCATCCCCACATGGCAGCTAAAGATGAAGCCACAGTCACCAGACTCTGCTGC